TCTCTATATAAACTGCATCACTCCCGACTCATTCTTGTTGGAAAATTATGGGTTTGGTCATTTCCGGGTTAAGTGAGCAACCTAAGTTAGATTTGACGGGTTGTTATGCAACTTTGTGTCTGGAATAGCGCTGGAAAGGTCATCCGTATTTGTACGAATAATGTGCAATGATTTTGTAGGAAGATGCCATCACGGAGAGCTACGCAAATAGGAATTGCTGTTGGAATGAAATACCAATTTTTATATTAATAAATACTTAACAAATTACAATAAACATTTCTTATCCTATATACATCATTTATAGTCTACGATTGATACAGCTCTGTAGAGTCAACACTAATGTCTTCTACTCTTGTCCTTTACTTGTGTCGTAAGCAGAGCGAGTGATCTGTCTTCCTGCCTCTTATTTAAAATCGGAAGGATTCCTCACTGTCTACAAGAAAATATTGGGAATTAAAATGGTTGAATTTATCAAAATTTATTAGTTTCTTTCATGTAGAAACTAAAAGTCCTCTACAGTCATATATTCAGATAGGACTAAAATAAAGTGTAATATAATTTAATATGAAGTTGAGAGGAGGGTTGGATGGTGCAGTGGTACACCATCCGGGCCGTTCTCTCATGCAGCTACTGTGTAGCTTGAACATCTACCCCATTAGTGAAGGGAGAATGATGGCCCGAGTCCAGTAAGCCCCTCGAATCACTCTCCCTCGCGGTGACATTATGCTCGTGGAACGACGAAAGCCCACACAGATAGTCACGGGTTTTTTTACGCTTTTCCCTGTGGTGGGGTGTGCATGGAAGAGGCTATATGCCGTAAGGGTTAACCTCGAGTGGTTTCTGCAAATGAAATCTGAGTGTGAGTGTTTTAATCGTCAAATTGAGTCATCCTGCTCAAAATATAGATCTTCCGATAAAAACCTGCATGGGTCTCAAGGCGCAAAATCAGGTAAAATGAACTATATATATATATGTATATATTGGAAGGCCATTATCATGTGACCTTGGACTTCCTCAACGCAACATGTCACGCAGACATCCGGCCCAACTGGTAATCACTAACAGTCAGGTAAATAAGTGGACCATACGTTATTTACCCCGTAATAATATTGTATATATTAGGTCTCAAAGATTGCTACACTCTAACTGGTGAACATGGAGTTTATACACATAATTAACGGGTCGTAAGATTGTAGCTTAGATGTGATTCTTTTAATAATTAAATGCGTTTTTAGCTATCTAGCCAATGCAAGTGATCAATGCTATGAGAACATGTATGACGGCTCTTTTGACCTCAAAGAGTCACCCTAAATTTCATTGGCAAATACCATTGTGAGGTTTGCTTGCTTACGCCAACAGTCGATCGTCAGTGAGTAGCCACTGGTGAAAGGCTTCAAAACCTTTGATTATCCAATAATGCCTTTCTAGTCAATGCAAACCAGTACCGCCAGAAAAGTAATGACGTCTTGCTGGATTCCAACCATTTATCTACTGTTGTAAGTTGGAGAAGCATCAGAGTGCTCTAGACTCTACTCGGCAGGCTAGTCCCATTGATGTACCATTGCACCATTTAGCCTAAGCAGGTTTCAAAGCGTCGCTTGCACCAGTGGCTTCAAAGTAGCGGATCATTGACATAGCTAAATAGTTGAATGCAATATGATTTTTAAAAAAAAGGAAGTAGCGTATCGTATAGCACTCTCAAATGTAAAATTCCACAACCAAAAATCCAATTATCCTCCCTTTGTAGATTGTATAAATGCCTTGCGTCATCTTATCTTATTTATCTACATAAATTTCACGTTTACCCTATCAATTTATCTCATTGGTTTTGGGCGCCGCTAATGGATGTTAAACTTTCGTCCCCGTCAACGATACATTAAGTTCTCAGATTTTTGTATAAAAGTACCCGATAACTCACTTAGTTCTATCCATGGAAGTGAGGGTTATTTAACGAAAGACGAATTCCTCACCTTCCAGTGGTGCCGGTGTAATCGCTCAATATGCTCCACATATCTGAGATGTCGAAGACTAACTGCATCCGAATCGAAGTCGAAAGTAACCTCAAGCATATATAAAGTCGACGACTTCTCATCAATGTCGGATCTATCATTCTCACGCGAGTCCACCTCGCCTCAAATACCGATAATGGCGTTAATCCAATTGCAATCGGGTATTTGCCTCATCAAAAACCGGCCATCTTCCACTACAAATATACGATGCTATCTATACCCGCTAGGAGGAAATTAAGTCATAATTTACAAAGCTCGGGTTTTGGTTTATGGGGGACCGTTGTTCTAATGGGACTTCACATCTTGAGGGAGGACAGGCAGCTAGGACGTGGGACGAACGAGTGAAGCGGTCACAATTGTGCATACTGGGACGCATATTTTTCAAGTGTTTTCGATTTAAGGGTGTCTGCGGGCGCAGAGGCAACGATCTCGGATAGTGAAACCGACACTTCAAAAACAGGCAACTATGGAAGGTGTTTTGGTCCACCTTCTGGTCGTCATCTCCTCGAATTAAAGTCTGGATAGCCTAGACACCTACCTCACTCGAAAAAGGGAGGACTGAGTGGCCATATATCGCGCGTTGGCTATATACAAGATGGCAAAGGCATGTCAGGGTAACCAAAGGTTTCTCCTGTTTTCCCTTTGGTGGATATTGATGGTTGAGGGATGGGTGAAAATCCCTAGAACCAAGGTCTCGAGTATTATCAGCGAATGCACCCACTACATGAGTAATCCAAATGTCAAACTGAGTTATCGTCGTATATAGTCGCCGGAGAAGCTAGTCTTCTCTGTGTCATGCTCTTTGAGTGCAGGTCTTGTGACCGTCACGAATAAACTTTCATTCATTCACCCACGCCAATAAAAATAATTTACTGCTATGAAGCCTATGTAATCTAATTTTAAACGAATTTCAAGCTTATATCAGACCTAGGAGAGCAAGCCCTAAAAAACACATCTTTTGCTTGAAATTGAACTCCCGCGAAATGTAACCTTGCGACACCCTATGAAGTGGGAATCTAACAATTCAATATTTGTCGAAATAGGAAGGTTCAGACCAAGTAGTTAGCATAACGTGAATATATATATTAGTATCCTAAGTAAGCATGGCAAAACAGTAGGCTTTACGATTTGTAGAGATAACATTTTCGTAACTTAGTCGCTGTACTAGAATCGATCTGCTGTACTAGAGCTTCAACATATTTAATATAATGAGGCGAGTCAGACGCCAACATACTAGGAACGAGGATATCATTAGGAACATGCATAATCGAAACCTTGTTGATCGGGAATTAATGTCTGTCTTGATCTAGAAAAGGATGGGAATGAGACCCCAGAGATTAGAATATGTGATATTTGGCCAATCACTATACAACATAACGTAAATGTTTGTAGGATTTCCCATTCGTCGGCTTTCAGAAAATAAAACCGCCACATCGGCATTAGATCAACTAGCCGCAAAGGTTGTTATCGCTTTGATAAAGTGGGACTTTCAACTGTGGTGGTTAGAAAGCTGCAGATTAATTAGACCGAAGCATTGGCACGGTCCTTCCAGAAGGATACCCAACCAGGAAGTAGATACCCTTACTAGGATAAGACAAGCCGAGGAAAGAAGGTTAACTTTTGCTGACGATTGGAGGCTACGTTACTGGATAAAACAACATCGGCCGTTAAATAAGCCGAAGTATAATTTAGTCGAGTCTTATGGTTGAAAATGATATCATATGTAGTTTATTGGAAACAGTTAGTAGAGATAAATGAATTAGACTGACATGTTCATACTTCGATGGTTTGATTTGATACTTTTTTGTCTTGTTGTGTCAGTGTCAATACTGATGGCTTCAGGTTTCTATTTCCTTAGAAGAAAGATGTTGGCTGTGTTTTACTAGCTGTGTCATTTCGTACCAATATTCCCGCCATATTTTACCGCTTTTATTTTCTATTCGAAGGCCAAGGATTCCATATCTTGCATGGATTACATAGTGCCGAATAAGAAACAGGTGGCACTTTCGCACTAATGTGATGTAGCGGTGTCTCGTTAGCGCCGTTTTCATCAGCCCTACAGTTTCAAGTGGCCATTTCCAGGCTAACGTTTATAACAGGGACAGCGATTGATAAAAGATTTGTGGCTAGACAGAACCCCTCCACATTTACATTGCGACATTATCAGGACCAATCTAATTGTATATCTGAAAAAATGTCTGCCGAGAACTCTCATAACACTTTGTACCATGAAAGATTGATGAGGAGTAGATATGTGTGTAGGAGAATGGATTAAAAAGACAAACTCTTATTGGATTAAGCAAGAGTACATTTTTGATATCAGAATTTATGACAATACAACGTATTCACATCATATCAATTCTCCCTATCATCAGGCTATCATCAGCCATACTAAGCACATTGTGATTCCTATGGGTGCAATGCTGGGAATCCACATGTTTACAGAGCACAAGATATCGGCTCCCACTGTCTTCTCCAGATCCACAATTACCTTGTTTCCTAATAAATCCCGTAACCCGACTAGCGAGTAGTGTAGATTAGAACCTAGCAATGTTATATAATTCTAGCCTCCACTCATGAAAATCACCACAACAACTGCATGCCTACAATAACTTTTTTCCCATACTCATAAGATATTTGAGAATAAAGTGTAACTGAGAATTTCAGACTAGTCCTAGGAATGAATTTTTCATCTTGATCTCCTCGGATGTTTTGATACCTTGGCACTTATATCCATCAAGGTGTTGATTTTGTTCGGCATGATAATTTTTTTACCTCCACTTAGTCTGATTCGAGGTGCCTCTAAAGGAAGGCTTAAATCATTTTAAATTTATTTCCATTATACCTTGTTACTTTCCTACTTAGTAAATATGGGAATCTCTGCTGGCATCGATATCGAAAGCCTAACTTGGATCTATATAATACAAGAGGCTTCACTATGGACTTGTCTTCAAACCCAGACGACAACTTCTATATTGGTTAACGAGGAATATGATGCTACTAATTTCTATTCTCTCGTGTACTATATTTTTCTTCCATTTTTTGAATGCCGTAGCAGAAATCACTCTCACGGGCTGCCATCTTGAAGCTGGCCTGCAGTAAGTTCAGATAAATTTTGTGAAATTCTTCCTTGGAAATAACCAGCATACAGAGTTTGTACTACTCTTAATGGCCAAGCTACTACCTTTCAAGTGCCCATCACATCTTATAGTGAAATTACTTTGACAAAGACGACTCCCACGACAGAAACTTCAACCACTACTGAGATACCAAACACTACTGAACCTCCATCATCAACTCAAATTTCAGAAAGTACTACTACTCCACAAACTGATGCAGTGACGGCTTGCCATTTACATGGCGATACACAGTAAGCAATATCCAGATTCCTTCGAGCAGATAAGCTCTATCGTCAATATTAGTCACTAGAACTCTATGAATTAACACACAACGTAGGTACTGCGTGAATGGAGCGGGTGCAGAGGTGAGGATAGTAGCCAGCTCGACGCCAACTCCAATTCCTACAGCTTACACTGGCTGCCACTCTCACGGATCAGAAATGTATGTGTATTATCAAAGTAGAGGAGAGTTACGAAACTCGTTGCTAACATGGTTACAGGCACTGTTTAGACCCCTTTGGCTCAGAGGTAAAGGCAGTGAGTTCAGAACCAACTGCCCCTGCTGCTGGTAAAAAAGGCAGCCACTCTGGAGGCAAAAATTGTCATTTTCATGCTGGAGTGGAGTAAGTTTACCTTCAAAGGTGGTATCCAACGTAGCTAATGCAATTATTATAGGCATTGTACCTCCACTGACGGGTCCGAGGAAAGAGACTGCGGGAGAGTTGATCGAGACTACAATGTAAACCTACGTATAGGTTTACTGTTTGTAATCTTGATAACTAGTGCAATCGGTGAGCCCCTTTTTCCACCTAAAAAATAATTTGGAGGGTCTCATACAAAATTTAGGTGTCTTTACTCCAATTTTACTGAGTAGATTACTCCGGATTCAACCTACTGGACTTATTTTCACATTTATCAAGCAATTCGGTACAGGAGTTATAATTTCGACTGCGTTTGTGCATGTATGTAAAGAAAATTCCCTTGCATTTTCAAGATCTAACTTGGTATAAAAAGTTATTGACGCACGCTGAATTAATGTTTGCAAACACATGCCTTGGAGAGCTCAAATATGAAGCCACAGCGACATCAATCGCTATGGCAGGCACGTTCATGGCTTTTCTAGTCGACTTTTCTTCACACCGCCTAGCCCATTGGAGGCAGTCTAAAATTGTTCCAGGCCCTATTGACGAAAAATGCACGCAGCATGAATCTGATGATTCGACAGACAGCCCGCCAGACCTTGCAGCATTTTCTCATCACAACCACAGTATTCCCAGTGGGGCACTTTCTTCCAGTGCCATTTCCTTGATTATTTTGGAGGCAGGAATTGTCTTTCATTCTCTTTTAATTGGCATAACTCTTGTTGTCGCTGGCGATTCCGTTTTTATAACTCTTTTCGTTGTCATAATCTTCCATCAAATGTTTGAGGGCTTAGCTCTTGGCGCCCGAATCGCGGCAACTAATAGCGACAAAGTTATCAGCGCAAAACTTTTTATACTTCCCTTAATATTTTCATTCATAACTCCTATTGGCATGGCAATCGGCATTGGTGTGTTGCAAAACTTTAATGGCAATAATCCCAGCACAATAATCGCTCTCGGTACCCTTAATGCATTTAGCGCAGGTATTTTGATATGGGTTGGATTCATTGAAATGTGGGCCGGTGACTGGGTTCATGGTGATCTAGCACAGGCAGATATGGCTAGAACGTTTGTGGGTATGGTGAGTCTCATAGCTGGCTTTATTTTGATGGGAGTCTTAGGAAAATGGGCATAGATTTATTTACATTCATATTCGGGTGATTCAAACTCAGTATTTCATGTGGATTATTTCGGTCTCTAATTGTAAGGGTCACCTTGTGACAAATCGTTGATAGCTCAACAATTTAATCACTATGGTTAATTTAAAACTCAACAGACTAGTTTAGCGCTCTATGACTCGCGCCGGTGATTATTTATTCTAATATCTACACAAATATAAACAAATCATAGATAAACTTCCCATTAGTAGACTGGCACAATCAACTAGGAGAGCGACATTCAGGAATTCCAAGCCGTTGTAAAGTTCGATAGTGAGATCAGCCTTCACCTTTGGATCCTCGATAAACCCCTAATTAGAATGGAAAAGATAAGTTGTATTTAAATAGTCTGTCCTACATAGTTATAAACTCAAATAGGACATAAATGGATTATTATTATGGATCCTCGATATGGGCCAAGGCTGGGCCAATAGGAAAGATACCCAAAAAGATAGTGTAACCCCCCAGAAGTATTCAAAGAAAATGCTTGGAGCTAGTTGCAGGCACCTAAATTTCTGTTAGCAGCAGAGTGCTAGAGCACGAATCGTCCGTCCTCCCTATAGAGATATACCTGGAACAAAGGAGGGTCCAGCACGTCGGACTGTCAGCTAAACTCCTTGTTCAACAGACAATATGATCGACATGTGAGAGGATAGAGCTGCCCGCAAACGGGAGTTAGACTCTGTATGTCTGGAACATGAGTAAAGATATAGCCGAATGGATAAGAAGTCGTAGAAGGGAAAAGGATAAGAGGAGGCAGAAAGAAGCTGGAAAGATACCAGCCTTTCAGGATTGGAAGAAATCGTGGACAAGCTAGAAAAGGAAGCAGCGCCCTGGCCGACCAGCATCAGCCGATCCAGAACATTAGGAAGCGGCAAATATATTTACTGATGTACAAACAGGCAGCACCAAAATGAATTTCAAAGACACACCCTTGAACATTCACCGTAGCCTAACCAGGGCTCAAAGCAGTGTCACCATTCAGCTAAGAAGCGAGCATATCAGGCTCAATTCTTGCCTGTACAGAAGGAAAGTACCCGGAGTAGGAAAGCCAAGCTGTCAATGTGGGCATGCGTCACAAAATGTTAAGCACATGGTATTGGCATGTCTGCAGTGGGCAATGGGAAGAGGCGAATTTCTCCGATAAGCTAAAGACAGGTCATTTGAAGTAGTGATTAACAGCCCAGAAGATATGGCTAGAATCATAAAGTGGATACTAAGCAAAGGGTGGATAAAACAGTTTCGACTTGCAGGAGAAGTCGAAATAGCAATGTCGGATATAATAAATCGATCTGGAAGGGGGGAGGGCGGAATCCACACTCTCTGGATATTGTAAACTGCACTGCCGGAAGGTAAACTGGGCAAATTGATAGCAAGTAAATAGGTAGGATCAGGGGTTTTCACCAAATTAGTTTCCTCATTTGTAAATAGTAAAGATGGTCACCTACACAGATCCATAGGGTGCCTGATCGGGTTAATTGGATTAACATTGAAAAGGATAAATTTACTCTCTTTAATATTATCGCCCAAATGATGTACTCGTGCATGCAACTCCAGCTAATATAAGCTCACATCACACTGTGCGATTCCACACTCCCTTTAAACTTTTTTCCTACTGCTCATTGGGGCTTGGCCCTCAGTATCCATTGGTAAATATTAAATAAATCAATTTTCAAGTTTGCTATTCAGTGTCAAAGCTGATTAGATAGCTTTAACAGTCCTACTTAGTCACAGAGCCAATAGGGACTTGAATTTAATTAAATACATAAATTTTCTTTTGCTCAGGTATTTTTCAAACGTTTAACAAAATCTATGCCATTTAGATGGTGTAGTAATGAAGCGTCTTTGTTTGTCTCTTAGGAGTCTGTACATCTTGGACATTAATTTAATTTGGCACAGTAGATTAATGGTTCAGGTCCCGGAATATCCGACAACATTACTCGCGGTATTTTTTTCTGTTCTGTGTATTAACGTGCTCGGTTGAGTGGCTACCGTTGCACTCCTACTGGAGCGTAAGCACAAGTGGGGCCGGGTTGGATCAGGTCAACTACCGTGAAGTACAGATATATGTCATCCCACTTGAATGACCAGACCACCTCAGACTTCACCTATGTGTTGGATCATACCAAGCCTGACCATCCATAAACCGGCTGTACAAACGCCGTGGCGCATATTCATCCTCAGCATCAATTACCACGCTCCCGAGTCCTTGACACCATCATAGACTCCGAAATATAAATGTAGTTCCAGATCTCATAATTGCTCTAGCCTTGCACCTTCATATCGTACTGTTGGGTTGTTGTCGTCATTGGAGATTCGTATAGCCCCCTCGGTGTATCTTCTATTTTCTTCCTCCTTTGTACACGTCCTGTTTCCATCATGGCTATCCTCATTAGGGCGTGTGTAGGTAGGTTATGTGACGAGTATAAAGATAGGTCGCAGGTGTAGGATAGACTGAGAAATGCTTCGTCGCAAATATATGAGGAGTTTGAGAGATATTTCTTTGTATGAATACGACTCCCAGATAGACCTATGCCTATTCGTGAATCTTATGTTTGTGGTGGTGGGTTTTTGTTCGAATTTCTTGCGGTTATGAAATCTCTGCCGGCTAATATTTCGCCCAAAATACCGAGTACAACTTCTTTTAGCCGAAAATCCATCAAATAAAGTTCATCCCACCATTTTTCGTGGCTGAATCTCGGCTATGGCAGAATATTTCACTCCCAGGTTCGTGGAGGACACCACTGACAGGTGTTCAGCCTTTGTCCTCCTTACTCGCTGTATATGAGTCACGGCGCGATATTTCTTCCCAGAAAATTGAGTAGTGCATACAGTGGTCATACTAAAAATTTGCTCCACTGAACCTAGTGCCCTACCAATCGAATCAAGTTTAGATCCATCTCTGTGGGACTAGATCAGCGAGTGACAGATGAGCGATAGGTAAACGATATAGTGTTTGTAAGGATCATGCACATACCTGAGTCACGCCTGTGATTGTTCGGAAGTGATTATTCTATGAATAGAGATAAATGAACCACCGATTGGATAACTTGCAGCGCGATAAATTTCTTTTGCATCAAATTTGTATTGCGCATGCAGCCAAATAGCCATGACACAATATCAAAGAAAAGTACACAACAGATGACAAAATTTAAAGGAAGAGCACTCATCCCTCGGAATTCATTTGCAAGTACCACTGCGAAGTTATAACTCCTTTTTCTTTATTCCAAGTCAATCATCGACCGTGAATACCCAACAAGGGGAACGTCTCGAAAACCGTAAGTTATCCAGACATGCCTCCTTCTCAAGAGCGTGGTTTGTGTTTGAATTGTAAAACATAATTTCTGTCATCTAATGCTGTTTGGTCGAGAATGAAAACTTAACACCTATTGGCGATGTCCCCTACGAACTTCCAGATCTCACTGTAGGATCTGCAGAGCCGAGATTCAGTACCAGCTTTCTCTACACTTCGATGAGGATTCCCAATTGCTTTCGCCATCTCTATCGTCTTCATCTATCAGCACATTTCCCAACCACCATTATCCTGAATCCAACCACCATCAGATCAGATGGTAGGTCGATACCCTACTCATCACCCAAACGCGGTCATGTAGAAGCCATACGATGAGTTTCCGGAGCGTGGCCAGCATCTAATATGGCAATGGTGGACTGGATCAAGTTGGCCTCTCTATCATAAAGGAGGATATATATGGACATGTACACCTCATGTGGCTCTGGTATCTAGACCTCGCCTGGCGGGGACTGAAAGCGTTAGAAAATATGGTTATTTAGAGACAATCATATCACCCACTAAGTAGCAGTAGTGTTTGGATCCCTCTGATTGGTCTGTAGTGTAGGCCCTCGTGTACTGGTGTTGATCGCACTAGCGCCTTGGCATCTACATAGGGTAACTCTCACTAGATAGCTTAGATATAGAATAGAGAAGAACAACTGACCCCTCTGAAATTCAGAACCTATTGTGCTAGCACATTTAATACCCGTGATATACCGACAGAAAGGTTTTTGAGACTTTTCCCCGCGCACGCAGTCTCCATTGCAACAGTTTTTTTTGGGTGGAAGGATCCACATAAGACATGGCTGAAGCCTACACTTACATGCTGGGTCAAAGAGCTATCCAACATGGGCACCACATCAGAGATCTTTCTACGTAACAATGAAATGAGACTTGGAATTAGTGCTTCCAATAAGGTAAAGGCAGGGATTTTAAGAATACAAAAAACCTGTCTCCAAATTATTTTGAATTTGAATCCATTTAGCCTGATTATGCACCCCATGGATCCGTGTAGGTGACCATCTTTACTATTTACAAATAAGGAAACTAATTTGGTGAAAACCCCTGATCCTACCTATTTACTTGCTATCAATTTGCCCAGTTTACCTTCCGGCAGTGCAGTTTACAATATCCAGAGAGTATGGATTCCGCCCTCCCTGTTACAGGCTGCGCCTATCTCCTAGTGACTGTCGCACGGACACTTATCATTATTACATCATTAGCCTTGCTATCTAAAGAGATGTCCAACTTGGCCATACAAATACAGGGTTGCAACAAATATGGAAACAAGATATTGTTGCAGCAAGTCTCATATGGAATCATGGGCCGATACGACCCAGTTTCGCTATGACGAGCCCACTCGGAATATCAAGGATATGGTGTAGTAGAATAGATAGTGAGGTTAGCGCATTGGGAGTTGGGACACCTTAAGTAGCCTCCCCTCGGTGGACAGTTCCGAGATGTATGTAGAAAATAGACAGTAATTGGCCACCATTCCTCTACTATATTGTTTTGTTGATCGCCCATCATACTCCCCCCTTCCAGATTGATTTATTATATCCGACATTGCTACTTCGACTTCTCCTGCAAGTCGAAACTGTTTTATCCACCCTTTGCTTAGTATCTGTCATGGTTCATATCATGACTCTTTTATCGACTTTAAAACTTGTTGTCGATATTGTATAT